GGCGACGCGCCGGCGGGTGGCGTTATCCGAAGTAGTGCGTTATCGTTCGTTGCGTCTGCGCAGACTGCAGATCACGATGATAGCAAGATGAGTCAGTCAGGTGAGAAAGACTAACCGTTATCATGATGAGAGGTCTGTATCTATATGCGGTCTGATATGTTTATTATACATAAGGAAATGAAACTATTTTTTTTATTACAAAATCAATTTCTTGAGCGTGTTCTTTTCAACAAAGTTACAGAACTTACTGAAACCCCATAAAACTACTTAGCGGAACACTTGACACTGACGAAAATCTAGCAGGGTACCGCCAGTAAGAAAAAAGAAAGAACTAGCATATTGCTTTTTGCTATGAACACTTTTTAGCCCTGTTTAGGTCTCATGGTCAGCCATATATAAATAAGTTATAAATGTATTTGGTTTGACCGCCCAGCCGGCTGGTTTGCTCACATAGAAGTCCAGTCACTTTATTAGCAATTAATCAAGACGATACGCAATACAACTATGTGGTATCACTGATAGATTCCAGGTTATCTGGAGATGTGAAGGATTTAATTACTAATCCAGCCCCTCTCGGCCAGCGGTACAATTGGATTAGGCCTGAAATTATTAAGCTCCACTGTGAGCCTCTAATAATATGCGTTGTCTAAAGCCGCCACATGTATATGATAAAGGCAATTGAAATGTCTAATGTACGATGTACGAAAGTATTTTAATTGAAAAGTCATATTACAAAATTGTAGATAAAGATGTATGGAAAGACAGCATGAGTCTAGATTCCACACAAATATGATTCAAAATGTATTCTATAGCATTTAAATTTATTTGAAAAGAGCAATCCCTCGAGATTCTCCCTCGACCGAGCAGTAGCTTGAAAATTGTCATTTTCAAGTGTAAAAATTTTACCTAATGGAATAAAGGATTATTTGGAGGAGTTTGACTTATGGTTCTCAGCAGAGGTGGCTCGTCTTTAGGAGCGCTGGTGCAGTGAACTCCCACTCCTATCCAACCCACCAAACTAAGTTTGTTAATTATGCTTTCATGTCATAACCGAAATAGGTACCACCTTACCTATTTCGGTTATCAAGCAGTAATGTGAGTTTTACTGTCTTTCGGTTTTAAAGGGCTAAGAGTGCTGGTGAAATCAAAGGCACTTGAGACTTGTCAACTTATGTCTCAGGGAGACGGATCCAGTGCCCCACAGATCTTTGTGATTTAAAGCTCTGAGTGGTACTGCAATTGTTTTGGGCAGGCAAATCGTTTGCCACCAAGTGCAATAAACAAAAATTACTACAACTTTTTTTAGCTTCTTTTTGGCTTTTTTTAGATATTTACTTCTATAACTGAGGCATAAGTTTGCCGAGAAGTGAGTTTCGTATTCCCACTGGAGGGCAACATTTGAAGGTGTGCAGAAGCACCTCAACCACTTCATAAAAACTAAAAGACATTTCTTGTACTTGTATTTTATAAACAACTTTTTTTCTGCAGCTGATAGACCAGTAGCTTCCGTACCAGCTGGCTTGCAAGCTCTCTGCGAAGCGTACTCCAGACTGTACCCTGACCAGCCCAATCCACTGCAGGTCACCACTAGGCTGAAGTATTGGTGAGTTGCATTAGCTACAATCACGGATTATTAAAAGCTTTTCAGTGAATAGAAAATTGTATAAGAATTTAATGTAAATAATTTTCAACAATTTTCAGGCCGGGAGAAATATTTGCATGGCCTACATTTCTTGTCTTGTGAGTTTGGGTTTAATTTGTGGATGTCCATGAGTGTGTCCATGGTACCCGCGATACAGGGTTTTCCTAGTGCGGGCTTATGAGTTCATACTTTTAATTGAGGACATGTAAATAAAATTATTTTTTTATTTTGCAAGTAACAGTAAATACCATGTACAGGGTAAACGGCACTGGAACAAGTGACAAATAAGGAGAAACTCAAAACAATATTCAATAAGAAAACTTCCTTATCAACGAATCCAAATATTTTCATGCATTTCTTACAGGCTGGGAGGCCACGATCCTCTGGACTACATCAGCATGTACTGGAACCCTGGCAAGCCTGAGGAGCACATACCACCACACTGGCACTACGTCAGGTACCTTTACCAGGACACATAAACGCGTCATGCCGTTAGAACCTACTGTTAAGCTTCCTATGAGACTTTTTGTGTGAGGGACTTGAAAAGTGATCCGAGCGCGATAGACCCTAGCCTCCTGGTCGGTCCTTTGGCAGGAATCACGACAAACTGTTGGTAGACACTATGGTAACCTCCAACCAAATCTACCCACTAAACCCTGGTTTTTTAAACGTCGCGATTTGCCTAAAAACATCACTTCCACTATTATTCGTTTGCGCTTAGGCCATGTTTGCACACCTGTATTTTTGCGTAAAATCAGAGTTCGAGACCACTCTCTGTGCGAGTGCGGCCTAGATGGTACCTTGGAACACATTTTTTTCAATTGTCCTAATATTGCTGTTCCACTTTATAACTTACTTTCTCCAAAATTCCCCCGCCCCATTAACATAAACAACCTCTTAACTTTAGTGTTCTCCCCCCATATTGTTACTCTATGTAAATTTATCCACTTAAGAGCTCCTACGCACTGGCGACCATGGTCGCCGCGACCTGGCCGCGGCGGCCAGTGAATTCTGGACTTTATATGGCAATCGCTATAGCCCCTACGCACTTAGCGGCCAGCGACCAGCGGCCACCGTTGGCCGCGGCGTGATGCCACGCGACCAGCGACCAATCGTGGCCGTCGAGAACATCATCAGTGCTACCGCATCGGCCGCGGCGACCAGACGTGTAGCTAGCTACAGAGTGATTATTTTACAATGGCCAATTTCGACACGGAAAGGTTCATAATTGAAGTTGAAAATAGAAGAGGTTTATGGGATTTAGCATCAAATGATTACTCCAATAAAGATGTTAAGCGGCAGTTGTGGCTTGAAGTGGTCGATATATTTGGCGGTGAATCCATGGAAGATAAAGAAAAGGCAGAACTTGGTTAGTATTTTATTTTATTATGCCTAAGTAAATTAACCCTTAACTGTAGTCGTGGGTAAACTAGTGTACAGTGTGCAACTAGCATACCGCATGTGCGTTCGACGCCATTTTGTTTACGGCGCGCAATGGCGGCTCGCGGCGAGCAAGTGCCTCAACGCACAAACTGAGCAGCCGTCGTAGGTACGCACCCATATATTTACAAATTGTGCCAGGGCAAGCGACCATCGGTACTGAAGTAGTTTGCGAATATATCTCGATATTCGGTTGATGTTCTATTTGCTCTATTAGGTAAACATGCAGGTATTTCTAATAAAGCCTCTGGTACAGTTAACGTGTCCTTGAAATCATATCCGTCTCTTTCTCGCACAAAATTATGAAGCACACATAGAGCTTTTATAATCACAACTGCAAATTCTTTCTTGACGTTTAGGGGTCGGTGAAGAATCTGCCATTTATTGGCTAATATTCCAAATGTACATTCAATATAGCGGCGGGCACGGGATAGTCGATAATTAAAATTAGTCTTTACATTATTCAAGTTTCTCCCAGCATACGGTCGCATCATATGTTCCGATAGTGAAAACGCCTCATCACCCACTAAAACGAACGGCATTGATTGGCCATTTTCTTTGATGGGGTTATTGCTCGGAGTATCGAGATCATTATTTAAAAGCCTATGATAAAATACAGAGTCTTTGTAAATTGACGAATCACTGCATTTGCCGTATGCTCCAATATCTACGTAAAGAAATTTATAATTTACATCACATATTGCAAGTAACACGATTGAAAAATAATTCTTGTAATTGTAATAAAGAGATCCCGAATGTTGTGGTTTGATAACTCTAATGTGCTTGCCGTCGATGGCTCCGATGCAATTGGGAAATTGGGCGTATTTTTGAAAACCTTCAGCCGTTTGAATCCACTTATCTCTGGTCAATTGTGGCATCACAATTGGTTTTAATATCTCCCATATTGCTTCACAAACATCAAATACTATTTCCGATACTGTAGGAAGCCCTATACGGTATTCATGACTTATATGAGATAAAGAACACCCAGTAGCCAAATACCTGAAAATAAAATTCACATTAATAAACATAATATTAGTTTTGTAATATGTACTACATTTATTTATTGATTTACAGGCATTACTCTCCAAAAAAGATGGAAAAACCTTAGAGACTGTTTCACAAGAGAGCTGCGCCGTCTTAAAGATGTCAAAAGTGGTTCTGCTGCAAAACGTAAATCACAATACACCTATTTCAACCAATTAATGTTTTTGAAATCAGTGCTGGACACAAACGCAACAGAAAATAGTCTCGAAGAGGCAAGTCAAGAAAATGAAAGTGCAAGATCTTCTGATCTCGAGACTCAACAGTCTGCATCAAAGTCGCTTAGAACAAAAAGGAAGAAAAAAATACCAAACGAAGAATCCGATACAGACCCTCTAATTTCAGTTCTGCATAAGACCATAGCGACTACACAGAATGATTCAAATTGTGACAGACTGTTTCTTTTATCCCTCCTCGAAAGATTTCAAACAATCCCTGCTGCAATGAAGACCAAAGCGAAAATGGAAATCATGGAAATTATAGAAAAATACCAACCGAACTGTACACCTACAACAGCGCGCATAAACTATTCAAGTAATTTCAATACTCTTAACGACCAAGAATATGACCCGCATCGACCGAGTTATTCAGGTTATTCTACTACCAACAGGATATCAGATGATTCAAATTACAGCGGTACTCATACTCATTATTCTGATATTTCTCAAAATTCAGAAATGATAGACCTATTTCCCAATTTGAATGATTAATTGTTAACAATTGCCATTTTTTAAGTTATGAAAATACAAATAATTTGATTATCTACTTCAGTTTTTTAATATTTAAAAACATGTTATAAGCAAGCCCTTTTCCTCTCCTTTTCAAAGTCGTAAAGTAGAATACTACTGAACAATAGTTCATAAATTTTTTAAAGTGGCAAAACCTTGGACAATGAATTATACAGGTTGTTGTGAAAAACACAACAATGGTGGTTTAGGGTGATTCAGAATCGAGTCTTGTATAATTCAAATTTACAAAAAAATCCATTTAGCGGTTTAAGTAAAAAAAGGCCCTATCACATTATTTTTATTTTTCCTGTACACAATACTCCATTCCGAAACACCCTTTAAAATATATCTCGTATTTTTTAAACATTCTGTATTTAAACAAGATAAAGTAAAAAACCTAAAACCCAACTACGACAAAACTTTTTGTCCGCTAGAGGGCGCCATACTAAATTTGGTGACAAGCTTAATATATTCATAATGTACAAGTAAAGCGCTTTCAAACGATATCAAACACGGCATATTTATCTTAACTTTATTTTTTTACTCTGTATGTTTTGCCCGTTAGAGGGCGCCACATTAGATTTTGTGAAACGCCGTATAGTCTATAACCAGCGGACTGTTAAGACGCTTCTAACGATATATCATTTGTCGAATTCTGATAAGTAGTTTAGAAGTTACGAGGGAACAGATGAACATACATACATACATATATACATACATACATACATAGCCTGTCAAAATCATAACCCTCCTTTTGCTTCGCCGTAGTCGGGTAAAAAGAAAAAGCTTACCTTATTGTTATTACTAATTTTTCTTCTGCTGGAATGCATTTCCGATAGTTGTTATCAGTTCCAGTAATTTTTGGTTTTATTGTATCCAGTAACAGGTTAAAAGTATTCCTTGACATTCTCATGTAATTAAAGAATCTCTTCTCATACATTTTTAAATCCAAAAAATAAGTATAATATAATCCTTTAGTCTTTCTCTCGCAAAGTAATGGATGCACCCAAAACTGTCTTTTACGTGAAATCTTCCGTTTTCGTTTTCGTAGTAAATACACAAGCACAGTTAGCGTGATTATCTTCTGCACGTCCATCTTGACACACCCTTGGAAGTCGACTGCAAAAAATGGCCGCGGCGGCCTGGCCGCGTCTATGGTCGCCAGTACATGTCGCGCTTGCCTACGCACCGGCGACCATGGCCGCGGCGGCCTGGCCGCGTCTATGGTCGCCAGTGCGTAGGCAGCCTAAATAACATATATTTATAAATATTGTTTTGCTGTTTTGTTTTACATTCTCAACTGAGTACTCCCGTAGTCCAACTTACCAACACCGGTTAATGTCCTATTAGAGCTTAGCGAAAATTTTTTTTTGTTTCGTTTTTTTTCTTTCAACTGTGACATTGGCAAAATCATCAGTTCTCATATTGATGGAGCCATAAAAATAAAAAGTGAAGTGACCCTGCAAACTTGCTGCGTGATATATATAAGTGGCGAGGCGTCCATATAAATCGATTTCCACATATTTATTCCAAAGACTACATTTTGTGCTAAATTTTATGTGTATACCGGGTGGAACAGAACGACCGACAAAGCCGAAAACCGTGAAGAGTCTTAAATATGTACTTAACTGTACTGAAAGTCTTTTTGCTCTAAGTGTAATAGTTTCCAAGTTATTCAATGATAAAGATTTGCTTGAAAAGTCTGTATTGTCAACCCTACATCATAAAACACAGCTGTTTGGAGGCAACTACCGGGAGGTACTCAGGGCAAAAAACTTTGAAATTTAATAGGTCGCTGACCTCCGTCGTTGATCAGCACCCCATCAGTCGCTTTCTTTGATCAATCACTTTGTTTGATCGGTCATCATGTGAATCATGATTAATTATTCGGGTATTTTATTGTATTATTTTGAGAGTAATTAACACCCCTAAATTCCGTGTTTGACGACCCAATATTTACATTTACCGAAAAAATGCACCTCTCATAGAATCTTCGGGAGACATGTTGTTTCTAAACTATGCGTTGTTATAAACTACCTACAACAACTTAAGAAAAGTAAAGTTTTCTAAATGATTCTGACAGGAGTTCAACCATGTTTTCTGCGTCATAAGATAAGACTAACTTAAATAAACATAACTAAATTAAGTAAACACGTTCTACAACATTGGTCAAATACTCAAATTACAATAGTCTCGTAACCCTTAATCCGACCCTGACGTAAAATAGTAAATTGAGGCAGCCAATCACGTCGCTTATAACCTTAGAGATTTAGAGATTTGATACCTGTTATCTGTTTTTGGCAGCATAATTGGGAGATCGTTTTTTTTGTACTAGTCTATTTTTCAATGCATTTGGAAATAGTTTTAATTTACAATACAAGAATTTACTAACTTTAAAACGAAGAGTTCATTTTAATGAGATCAACATTTAAAACGAAAATTTCTGTTAACTTGAGATGAGTAATTGAAATTTTAATAAATGTAATGTGAAAATAAATAAATCGGTGCTTGGAGGTCTGCAGACCACCTCCACGGTTCGTTTTCTTATTTTTGAGTATCGATTATTACATTGTTAAATTTGATTATTTATTACAATTCATTAAACGACCTGCAGTTACCTTACTTTTACTTTTGAATTGCTCATCGTACTTATACCAGACAAGACGATTATTGCGAAACCTATTTCTTTATCATAATTGTCTTTTTAAAATTAACATTTAGATATTAGTTATCAATGATATCCGATGCGTACGCCGCCGCCGCGCGCATCACTATGCAGAGTTGCCAAGTAAGCAACTTTGTCCCTTTATGTGACGATTTGACATCAAAAGCGTCTTTTATTTCTAGCGACAAAAAAAAAATTTGGTATTTATTGGTGCGTATTTAATTAGGTTTAATCGTTTAAAATTTAATATTATTTTTATCTTAGTATTCAGGAGTCTTTTGCTTGTACTGTGACCATTCTGTTTAGTGATATTTGCTTTAGTCTAATTGGTAACACTTTTTCATTCATAAATTAGTTCAAAATGCCTGGTTGTTTGGTGACTCGTGGTCTCATGTTTTTCTCGTGTTTACAACACAAAACAACGTTTACTTATTAATTTTTGGGTTGTGACAGCAACTTATTGGAATAGTGCTGTTTATAAGTAGTGTTTGTGTTAAGCAAGTAAAGTGTATTAGTGTGTTTGTGTGGAAAACCACATCGGCGTGTGACCGGCACACCCAGGAATGTGTCTGAAATGTCTGAATGTCTGCAAGAGTAAAGGGGACGTGGACAAATCGAACATCCTTTTAATTTAAAGTAAGTTCAATGTTTTTTAATTACCTATTCAAGTGAGTACACTTATTTCTTTTGCGAGTACCAATGACACGAACGCCGCCTGTGGGGCAGTAGATGTACTAACACGATTGATTCGCGTAGGGTTGTTGCACCGCGAAAAGTTTAAATCTGGACGAACATTTTCCAACTGCTCTGATTTTCATTTAAAGTAAATAAAACTCATGTATGTAGGGTTCTTAACGTGATATTTTCGGCTTTGTCGGTCGTTCCGTTCCACCGTGTATATATATGTAGAATAAGTTAACCAGTGAAATGAAGTATACTAGTACCTTGTGTGCTAATAAACTGTGTTCAAGAGTCGCCAAAGCGCCACTTTTTCTTAATGAAAGCGTTTTTCGTTTTGCTCCGACTTTACTAACGACAATTTCACGCCTCGTCCCTGATATATATAGATATAAAATCCATTTTAACCTGATGTGTCTTTTGTTTTAAACTTCATGCTGGTTACCTTCCCTTAAATAAGTTATCATCTCGACCCCTCCTACGTAAAGTATCGTATGTCGAAATTGTCATGTTTACAGGGGAGCGTTTTAAAGTTCTGGATTCACTGAAATAAGCATAACACGTGAATTTAGCATTTCTCAGTTTTTATTCGAGAACGAGTTTTAAAGTAACGAGCTTTTCCGAATAAAACTGAGAAATTCTAAAGTCACGTGTTATGCCCATTTCAGTGAATTCAAAACTTTAAAACGCTCCCCTGTAAACTTGGCGATTTCGACATACGATATTTTACGTAGGAGGGGTCGATCTAATGCACAGGTTCCCAAACTTTTTTAATAAAAAAATATCACTGCCCATCACCACAAAAAAACTTAGTTATTTTTTATACTAACTAAACACAGAAAAACAAGAAAAAAAATGCATTTGTTATCTACTTAATATACACAATTCAGGTTTTTTTCAAATGCAGTAGCACCCTCTGGACAGCTTCAACGCCTCCCAATTGCTTCCGAGGCACCTACCCTACCTAGCCACCTTAGGACTGAATGATCTTAAAAATGAGCTTGAAAAATAAAATTTAGATACTTATTTTTAAAACTAAATACACGTTGATTATATGTATAGACTAATATTATATTAATCATAATATAATTTGATCTAAAAACATGTTCGGAAACGCAAGTAAATTGGCTCCTGGCACTCCCCGGCCGCTGCCGCGGCACGCTCGTTTCGCTCACTCGGCTCGTGCTACTTTTCCATATACTAACCTAACCTATTGAATGGAGGGCGCAATCAAGCAACCAAGATTTATTAAAAGATCAATATCAAAAGATACTACTGCTTATAAGTATCATCAATATTTAAAAGAAAAGACCAATAATAAAAAAGAGGACCACATATTATTTTTGAATACCAAATATTAAACATAATAATATTGTTACCTTGAATGCAGTTCATTTATAATTAATCCATAGACAACTAATATAATTGGAACAATTAATATATGTATATGAGTATATATATAAATTTAAATAAATATCGTTTATTTAAAAAAGTGCACATTTACAATAGATATTTTTTTCTTTGAGAATCAATTAATATTTATTTTCATTCCTTGTATTACGTTTCCAGTTTTGGTCTCTCCGATCTCCACGGCGACGGGCGCGTCCATCCCCCGCCCGATCGAGTAGTCCTCTCGGCTGGTACTCCGCAGCCCTCCGGCTACGGCTTCGAACTCACTTTCAGACTCAGTGAGGAGGCTGGAGGGAATCCACCCTTGTGGCCAGCCGCGCTTCTGCAGGCGTTGGCTAGATACGTATTTACTACAGGTTAGTAGCAGTAGAACTCCTTGTGAAAGAGTTCGTCGAGGGAAGTACTGCCACCTTACCTATGTCAGGATTACTGTGTTCTGGTTTTGAAGGGTAAGGGTGCTGGTGAAATTACAGGCACATTTGTCCACTTATGTCTCAGGGTGACAGGTGCAGTGGCAGTGCCCCTTACATCTTTGCGATTTAAAGCTCTGAGTGGCACTGCAACTCTTATGGACAGGCGTGTAACTTACCATCAGGCGCACGACTTATTCATCCTGTCACTTGATATCATAATATATATATGTAGTTCAATGCTTATAAAATTAAAACAAAAATCTGTTAAGGCTATTTACTGGTAATTTTAAAATTCGAACTCTATTTCACGTGATATAAAAGCCGTCTCATTGGCCGGTTTGAATTTCGAACCGCATTTTTAACGTAAAGGAATTAGGTATTTAAAATACAAATGATTTATATTCGTAGGTAACAAATTCTGCGCAGGCGATCACATATCGTGGCATGCGCCATTAGACGGCGATACGTCGTCAAAACCGACTCGCGTCAGACACTTACTGGTCGCAGAAGATCCACAACTCAGCATGGTGCACACTGCACACGGCACTGTTAGTTACTTACAGGTTAGTAAACTGTTTTACTAACAGCATTTCTCACAGAATAAAACAAAACAATGGAAGTGACTTAAGCCGGATTACTATCAGAACAGATGTCGCCAAAACTTACACTATCATTATTTGAAACACTATGAAATATTGATAATGATTGGTCATAGTTTCTAATTTAAAAAAGATGTGACAAATTCTGGACTGTTAATATAAACTTTACTCACTCGTTATATCGTTGAAAGTTCATTCTTACAAATTACGACGTTTTGATTTTGTATTATTTTAGTCAACGTGCTGCCATCTTGCGGCCAGTAGCTGGACTACGACGAACGATTAACATCTGAACCAATTCGATAAACAGAAAATTGTAAATTTGTTACAATAAGACCTACCGATGATATGAAATACCACTACGAGTAATATTTTTGCACTCCAAAACAGCATAATAAGGCATTTTTCTAGGATTTTAGAGAATTTGCACGAAAGAATGACAACCATACCGTACAAAGAGAAAATGGCGGGCTGAGCGGAAGTAGGTCTGTCTGGGAAACCCTACACAGGGGAAGACTGCCAGCATCTTGGGCACCTTGTTACGGTGACCCATTCGTATTCATATAATTCAATCCTAGTTTTAGTTTCTAGTATTTAAGTTTTTATTGTATGTACCTTACCTTGTTACCTGTATATTTTGAATTATTGTCTAATAAATAAATTGTTAGTACAAAATATAACAAACTTTAGTTAATTAAATTTTTATTGAATTGATATTCAATTATTTTTTGTGAATACAGTGAATAGCGACATCTCTCGCCAGGTCTGGT